ACAAATCAATATAATAATCAACTGAAACAGTAAACCCATTCTAATCATTTTCACTCAATCACTACATTAAAGTGATTACCATTACTTTTAATATTTATGCTAATATGTTGCCACTGGTATTAATTAACCCCTCCAGAAAAGCCATGTTTTCATCTACTTCTGGAAGACCATGAGGGTAGGGGCCACCCTTACCTAAGAGGAGAAGTTATTCCAAAGCAGGGGAGCTACTACAGAGAATGCTCATAATCGTCCCCCTCATCTCCTGGTAGCTATGGACCATTAACAGGGGCTCCCCAGTTGTTCAGATAAGGCAGGCAGAAACTCTTGGAGAAAGGTAGTCCCTAAGATAACCAGGCTGTGAGTGACCTGCACCTTGAATTGCACTTGGAAAATTACTGGTAATCACTGCAGCTCCTCCAGATAAGGTGTAACATGCTGCTACATTCTGGACTAACTGAAGTTTCCAAGTGGTCTTCAAGGGCACTCTATATAGAACAAGTTACAATAATTTAATATAGAAATGACAAGGGCATGAATCACTGTCTTAAATGCAATCTGTTCCTGTTGTAATACTAAAACTGGCACACCAGCCAAAGCTGTATAAAAGCTTTCCTGGTCACAACCTCCACCTGCTCTTTGAGCAGGAGCTATGAGTCCAGGAGGACTCTCAGATTGTGAGCCTGCTCTTTCTGAGGAAGCACAACCCTATCCAGAGCCAAAGATGATGTAGTACTGGAATCAGTCAGCCTTGAAATCAACGGGCACTTTGTCTTGTTTGAGTTGAGTCTGAGCCTGTTTTTCTCCATCCAGAACTTGATAGCCTCCAGACATTGGTTCATTACTTCCACCACATCTCCCAACAGGCCCAGGGTGGAGATATATAAACAAGGAACTGCATTGTGTATAATGATGGTATCTCACCCCAAACCAAGATGACTTCTCTCAGTGGTTTCATGTCGATATTGAATAGGATAGGGGAAAGGCCTAAATCTTGAGGCACTCCATAACAAAGTAACTATAGGCTCAACTTCCCTCCCCCACAACCACCATCTGGACCTGCTCACTCATGTAGGAGCAGAACCACCACAGTAACGTGTCTCCAACTCCCAACCTTTGCAAGCAGTCCAGAAGGATATGTGGTCAACAGTATCAAAAGCTGCCGAAAAATTTAGGACTTCAAAGATGACCGCTTCCATCCAAGTCCCACCATGAGTCTTCCACTGTAATCCATAGTTCATACTATTTTCTTGGCTAATTTGTGTAATCATAACATACCAGATTATTTATTTATTTATAAATAAGATATATAAGGCTGCCCAACTCAAACAATGTGACTCTGGGCTGTGTACTGCATAAAAAAAACTGAACTACTGTTACTGTGCAAAATCTACCACAAAGGTTTATAGCACAGAAAAATAACACACATACACATGTAAATATAATTTGAACTTAGAATCACTGTATCAGAACATATTAGAACATTCTTTCAATGTATCTACATATCTTCACAAACTTAACTCAAAAATAGGAAGCAATGAACACCACCTAAGAACATCAGAAATAATAATCTGATAAAGTGAACACACAGCAGCAATAAAGAAATGTTAACTCCACTGCTGATGTCAGAATTACTGCAGTGAAAACTGCTTAGGTTAAAATATAAATTCTGTATGTATCAACATGAATGTTTTCCTAGTAACACAATCTGAATCTATATCTAATAAATTTTGATGATTTAGGAGAGCTTCATTTTCGAATAATTATTCCTACAGCCTAATACTTAGCATATTTACTCTAAATTAAATTTAACTGATGTAAATGAGATATAATTTCAATTAGGGTTGAAATCCTATTTGAATTTACTTGGCAGTAAACTTATATAATAAGTTAGTTAGTAGGGGCAAAATTTAACTGCATGCAGAGGGTTCTGATAAACAAAGACACAGATTTTCTCTTTTCCCCCTGGATGTGCATTCAGACAGCACAATTATATAACAGAAGGAAACAGAGGTATATATTCTTTCCTGGTACATAAATCCAAATCTGACTCTCCATAGTTTACATATATTTGTGCCTATGCAAATGCCTATCCTCCTTGTTTAAGCATTTCACCTAATATACAAAAATACTGTGCCTATGCACATTTCCAGTGTTGAATAGTGATTAAGGTGCAGTAATGGGACAAGTTACAACCTGCAGTTGACTATAGTGTAACTAGATTGGCTTTGAGGTAGTCACTACCGCTCAGCCCAGTCTGCCTTATGAAGTTGTTGTTTTAAGGATAAAATGAAGGGACCTCATCATGTAAGTTGCTTGGTCTCAGATGGAAGCCAGGACATTTATTACATAAATGTAATACCATCACTACCACCACTACTCTATTAGTCCTGAAGACCTATAATGAGAGGAACAGATTCAAAGTGGAAGAAAATACACTGTAACGATGACACCACCTCTTTAAATCTAAGGTGAGGATGCTGTTCAGAAACAGAACAGATGTATTTATCCCATTTAAATTACAACTGACTACATTCTAGGTTAACCTCACACAACAGTTATTCAACATTAAAATCAGTTAAGATATTCGAGAATTCCTTCTCAAAAATACAAGCCCATGTTTATATCTAATATATATTGGTTGGGAACCTAAAAGTAAGTTAAGCCAAGGGGCTTATAATAGGACATATCCATAGTATGGGTCAAAAAAAGTCAAGATGGCAGGTACAATTGTGCAATTGAAGACCCTTCCATTTTTTACACACATGCAATGGGTGTAACACACAAGAAGAAGGGATGGGACTTCAATCATGCAGTCACGCCTGTCATCTTGACTTTTTTGAGCCACCACCTGTGGATGCCTCTGCTTTTAATAGCAGGCTACCATATTATTATGCTTGAATAATTTTAGAAATGCTTTGCCATGTTGCTGTTTGAGAAGGATTTCTATGTTCCTTCAATCCAGAATAGGCCTACTAAATTTGCATACTTAATTTCTCAGAGTTAAAAAAATCCAACAAGTTCATTTTATAGCAACATTCCCATATTAAGTCTAAACCAAATCTTTCATTTTCTGATGCAAAAGTATGTGAATGCATTTGACATATGGACATTTCCAGTCTGCCTCTTTACGACATGGTCAAGTCCACATATCATTTCACCAGACTTTAATAAATAAAAGGACAGGAGAAGAATGTCCTTAGACCAAATGGATGCAACTAAAAGTCAAGAAATTAGTATCTGCTAGCATTTACATTCACAAGATAGAGTTGTACATGGCATGGAAGACAATCCTATACTATTGGTACCACAGAAAAACTATCACACTGAATTCAAGTTGTAAGTTGGTACAGCACTGAAGCCTTAAAAGTTATGCAGTTAAATATTAGCTCTCTTAAACAGAAGTTCATTATTCTTAATCAATTATTTCAGGTAACAATCAAGCTGTATGAGGACAGTTTTCTGAATAGTTGCATTTAATGCAAATATGTAATAACATCTAAGTTGTATTTCTTCTAAAAATATACTGAATCTGGAAATGTACTAGCTCTACTATATCACAGAGAGATAATCCTCCACCCAATTCGTCTCTTCCAGAAGTAATAAACATTCTCCACTTCTGATACTTAACAAAACTAGTAGTAAAACTCACACTATCCCAAAAAGAAAAATGGGGAAAAGCAACAGCAAAAAAATTCAGTTAGTTTCATAGTTAGTGAAAACATAATGACATACTTACATAGAAGAAAAGAAACAATCACACAAAATTCTCCATTATTAGAAGTGAATTTCCATAATTCATTTTGAGCAGTAGTAGTAGTAATCCTGCATGTAATTTTTTTTCAAACTATTCTTGGGACATAGTAACGAGTGCAACGAAGAAAATAATATTTTACTGCTATTTGCAAGCCGTGAGCACAATCAGAACAATTTTAAACTTCTGTCAATCATTTAATAATTTTATTGGCTGCAGGACATAAATGAGGAAATAGGAAGTAGCTGTTCCTTTCTATTCCCTCTCATTATGCAAAATGAAAAGGAAACAATCATATATATGGTATTACAGAATACAGCAGGAGGGGGAACAGGACATAGGAACCAGCAGGTCTTCAGTCTTATGCCCACCACACTATAGCACCCTTTCCTATTCTCTAAAAGAGCCAGTCTTTGAAGAGAGATTCCCTACTATAAAATCTATGATCTCCCTCTGATTTCTGAGAGTGAAATCCAGGATATACTCTGAACTTGTTACCCTGTTCTTTTTTCATCAATTCCTCTTGCTCCATGCATTGCCTACAATTATCGGAAATAAGCACCACTGATTTAAATTTAAACTTAGATCCAGGTAAGTAGCCTCAATATTTTAAATAAAAGTTGATTCTCCAAAAGTCCCTTATCTTACTAGTACCTATATCTGACCCCATGAAAAAACAACCAACAACAAGATTGACAGGCAATTTCAAAATGTGACATGCTATATACTGGAATGGATTCAATCTTATTTTAGAGACAAAAATATAAAAGGTGGTGGTGTTCCGCTATCAATTGTGTAATCATTATAATTAGTGCAAGTAACCCCTGCTGTAATGAAATTATTATAAGCTGTACAATGGCTTGCAGAATGGCTAGCACAAACTAAATCAAAACATTGGATCAAAGTTTCCATAAGGATGAAAATGGAGTTTCTACAAGCAGTATAAGCTTTCTGATATAAAACAACATCACTGATTTTCACGAACATAGAACCAGTCCCAAATTTTACAAACCATAAACCTGAAAACTGATATAGTTTTGCATATTTGTTACTTACATTATACTCCTTTTAAATATTTTTAGGAACGTAAAATGCAACATTATATGTATGAGAATAGCTTCCTTTTTTCCTTATGCAATGCCAAATAATTCAATTATAATTTTATCACAAAGTCCAGGCCTTTGAAATGGTAAATAAGGCATCCTGCTCTTTTTGAGAATTGAAAAGGAGAAAGAAAAAGAAATCTTACCTGGGTGTAGTCAAAGTCAGAAAGTGGAGCTATGCTTTTGATGTAATCCGCTCGAAATTGGTTTTCTTGGTTAGCTAATGGAACTGGAGGTATTAAAGTGCTCATTGCTGAAACTATAGTCTAGAAAAAAAGTCACACCAGAACAGGACAATTAAATACTGCTAGAAGTTGATTTGGCATTATCTGGAAAAAAATTTGTTTTTTAATTCAATTGCTAATTATAAAAAAAAATAAAAAAACAAGAAATGTATTCTTACCACAATTGCATCTTTTACATTTTTCCGAATATCCAGGATTTTTTGTTTCTTTTCTCTGTACACAACAACAAAAACCAATTAGTTTACTCCAGTTATTGTTGAAATGTTTTCCGAGTAATCATTTGCCATGACTTTCACACTTAAATAAATTAAAAAAAAACTATTTTCCCTAATCCTTATACTCATTTCCTGATATAAAATTTGACATATGAGGTTAGCTAAAATAAATGATTAATGTCACGTGATATATGTCAAATAATTAAATATGAAAGGATTTTTGCAGGGCAGAAATACTTCATCTGATTGCTTCTACTATGACTCCAGATCCAGAGGTTCAACCATTTCTAAATATATTTAACTATCATACTGCTTATTATTAAATTCTAAAAAAACCCTGAGATACATAATATATTACTAACTCATGTAATAATACATGTTTATTTTAAAATAAGAATGATTGCATCTTGTCTATAATATATATTTCAACTGCATGTACAATATATCTTTAATCATGCATATATAGTCAATATTTAGTATTTGTTGTAAGTAGTCGCCATGTTGTTGCTACACAAGGGCCTATTAAGCACTGCAGTAACAACAGTGTAAAATACAGTAGAAGGACCAGATTTTGTGCGTGTGTGTGTGTTTGTGTGTGGGGGGAGAGAGAATACAAATTCATGATTCTTGTGATATATATGCGTCATTGTAAAGTCCATGCTTACAGAGCAATGGAAACACCAACAAAATGCATACAAATATCAGCTCTTCACTTTGGGATAATGAGTTCTAAATGGCCTATTTGGACCCTTTTTAACTATCCCCCCCCAATACATATTAATAATTCTTACTCTGAATTAAATCCATTTACATGCAAGATCCTCATCTGCTTGACAATAGTGCTTTTTCCTGATTCACCAGCCCCTGAAAAAGAAGAGAAAAATGCATGATGTATATATATTGAAGAGAGGAGAAAATGGGGAACACAGGTTGAAAGCATCTCTCTTCTACCAAAATATTCCTACATATACGTTGCTCAATCTGTGCATTTTAAACCCACACTGGCTAATAAAACAGGACCGCGTTATTTCCACCTCGTTTTCTCTCGCACATAAATAGCAGTTTGTCTATTATCTGCCTGTCAGGAAAAACTAACTGCACTACTGCACCCTGTTCTTCCTCCCCCCGCAGAAACCATTCTTCTTACCCAGCAGAAGCAAACGGTGTGTGGCTTTATAAGCCAGTCGCTCTTTCTGCAACTGCTTCTCTATTTTTTTGTTGGCTTCTCGCTGCGCTTTCTCATCAATACGCTGATCTTCTGTTTTGCTGTTGCCCAAACACCCCATTGCTCTCCCTCAGGGTGGAGGTCAGACTGCACTACTGATATATAATTCTATTCAAACAAATATTTTTATCGGAAGATATTTATATCCCTGTGATGGTATCTCTCCTTTTTCTTCCCACCAGTTGTTCAAATAAAATGGTTTCTAGCCGTTTTCTGATCACAGTTGGTTTCTTTTTCCTCCCCCAAAGAGATATAAAGAACTTCCGGAAGAGGTAAGTGTTTTTTAACAGAACAAAAATCTGTACAAAATGCCTAACACACAGTGAAAAGAGAGAAGGCTCCTCCTGGAAATCAGCCTAATGCTGTCTTCCTCTCACCAGCACGCGCGTGCACACACACACACACACAAACACGCACACACACAAGAAGACGCGCGCACGCGCGCACACACACACACACTCTTACGATCCCTATATTTCTCTGTAAAGGTCTATTTTTGTCTTTCTAACTCAGCACTGCCTCTTTCTGTGAGACCAGGAAATAGTAGAAATACAATGCTGCAAAATGAAGACAGAAAGAGAAGGAGGAGGGAAGAGAGCTGGATTGCGTGATCAGTTCTAACTCCTGATGATCTTTGGCTGGTTTTTACAACAAATCCTTAAAAGGGATAATGGGAATTTGAATAACAACTGAGTGTAGCTGAACTACTGTCTTAAAAATCCATTCTGGAACATACTGAATCATGCATAGCACTGTTATTTCAGAAATGTGCTTCTGGCTTCTAGTTAGATTTACTGTCTCCAAATATTAATGTCCATCGTGCAAAAGCTGAACCCAACTATAACTTAGATGCATTAGATTTACAATCTTTAGATGATGCCCTTTGTAAGCAACAGTGATACTTCTATAGGAGCTTTCTCTGCCTTCTCATGTTTTAGGAGATGATGGATGGTGTTGAGAGCTGGTATGTGGACTACACCAGATTTATAAATACCAAGTTAGACAGATTATTAAGTGACAAACGTAAATGTGTTGCAGTGGATGTGAATTGTCAAATAAAAAGCAGAAAATGATTTCATTTTTAAACTCATTGCTAGTAATGTCAGAATGAAAATTGTAATTCTATCTTTACCACTTGGAGGGAGAATACAGGTGTTGATAGTGATAATATCAAATAGTAAGAGTTTCCAGAATATGACAACAAATTCACAGATTACAGACAAAGTTATAGATCTTAACTGCTCGTACACTTTACAACCTGATTCAGTTGGATTAAATTTTATAATTTAATGGTAATAAATTATGGACTCCTCTGTCTCATAGGGAGTCCGGCAACTCACTTGATCAGGCCCCTCAGCCTCTGACTCTCAGAGGAGTTGCCAGTCTAAGGAACTGGCTGTCAGTTCACCAACAGAGGTTGACTCAGCAGATAATCAACAGCAGCAGCAGCAGCAGCAGCAGCAGCAGCAGGAGGGGTCAAATGAGGAGGGGCCAGACCCTAGCAGGGTGCCCAGTCCCACGATGCCTTGGCAGCTCTGGAGAGTCATGCAAAAGCAATCTGCTTGGCTTCTCAAGAAACAAAGATATGTCATAATTGAGCCATTCCTGCATCTGGCCTGTTCAAGAACATCTCCCAGTAACTGCTTTTCCATTGGAAATGACTTGGCAACCTTGGATTCCTGTGCCCATGCTTCCTGCTCAGTTCCTTGATTCTCAGCCCTTTGACCTTAGCTGGCTGATTAACCTCTCTGGTGTTTAACTCCTGGATTCTCATGGACTACATTTGCCTCTCTGTTGCTGCTGTGCCCATTTCTCTAAACTTATGCTCCATTTGCCTCCTATAGCATGATTCTGGACTGAACTCTAAATTGCCAGTGCTGTGCCCATCTATCAGACAAGACTTTGCTTCCCTGTATTTTCTGAAGTGCACACGCATGCATTTGCACAGCAGGCTCTCTGCCTGCCTGGGTAACTGACTGCAGTCCTACTCATCAGTAAACCGCTTATAAATCAAGCTGGTGTGTTTGTTCAGCCTGGGATTGGACAGTGATAATGAAAAATAATAAAACATCACAACACAACCAAATAAACTAATATCAAACAAACAAATCAATAAAAACTGCTTGAAGTAAAATAAAGACAAGACCAAACTATTCAACCAAACACTCTTCAGAAATGTTCCAACTTCAACAGGATCTAGAACATTAGAAATGATGGAGCAAATCATAATTTTAAGAGGAGGATTTTCCACAAGGCTGAAGCAGCAACTAAAAATATCACCTCCTGGCTTCCATTTTATTACTTCAGAAAAGTAGGTTTAGATCAAAAGCTTCTGCCAAGAACTTACTGAACGGGCTGATTCAAGTAGGAGAAGGCGACCCTGCAGGTTTTTAAACACACCAAGGTATTTAGGACTTTATATGTCAAAACCAGGACTTTGAATTACACCTATTACTGTAATCTACTGGTAACCAATGTGAAGTCTGAAGCACAGGCTTGTGCTCTTGGCTGATAATACCCGTCAATAACAGAGCTGCTGTATTTTGCACCATTCAAAATTTCTAGGTATTCTTCAAAAGCAACCCAATATAGGGCACACTGCAGTAGTCCAGTCAAGAAATGATGAGGGCTTAGGTCACTAGTAATTTATTATTTATATATAACTAATATATAATACATAATGTGCATATCAGCTACCTGCATTATGTGAACACATAACTATCCTTTCTTTTCATCTATGGTTTTGAAGAATCCTTTTATGGACCCAGAAGATCTGAACAACTATCAGACTGTTAATATTCCCTTTGTGGGCAAGAAACTTGAACAGGTGATTGCCAGAGAACTCCAAGTCCTCCTCAGTGAAACTATCCTGGGTTCAATTACCTGTATTATTACATTTGGCATGGAATCTGCTTTATACACTCTCTGGGAGGATCTCTACTAAGACCAGGAATATATGATGAAAATTATACTATTGATTATTCAGGACTTGTTCCCTTTCAATCAGTCCTCACAGTGAAAGTGTAAACAGTCTGACAAGGAGATTAAAATAAGTGAACAAATTCCATGTTAATCTCAGATAAGCAAACGAACAACCAATCAATCGTTTCCTAACACAGGACAGTTGGGAGAAGTAACAGATCCCCTTACCACTGATAAAATTTTTTCAATCAAAATATTTATCTTATAGATTTGGCATACAGAGCAGCAAATATGACTTAAGATGGTGTCAAAACTAGACTGTAGGAATTAATCTTGATAGGGTTAGGAATTGGGAACAAGCCAGGTCAAAAGGCAAACTGGAAGACAGGAGGGCCAGAGATCAAAACAAAAGAGGAACTGATGTCAAAGGACAAATAAAAAGGCAAAGCAAAAGCAAGACCAAACACGCTAGCATTCAGGTTGACCTGCTGAATAAGCAAAGCACTAGGCTTACTGTTTTTACTGCCTAGAAGGAACCAATAATCTTGATCAGCGGAGTGTGTCAGGGCTAAGGGTTCCCCCCCAGACAGGAAGATATTATGAAGTCAGTGATTTATGTTTACACCACAGGGCAGATCTACTGTGCCCTGTTAATGAGAGGCAATTCTTATTTACTGTCCTCATGGACCATTTTGGAATTAGCATACAGGAACATCTTACAAATTACAGGGTGTTAGAATCTACCTGCCTTGGAAAGGATAAAATTTCCCTTCCTACTATACAAGCTACTGGAGATGCATGGTACGCAATAATATGCCCACAACACTTCAATTCTTATCATTCTGCTAAAATATGAAGGCAGGTGTGTGTGGG